TTTGCCATTTTTGTCCACGTGCTACAGTTTTGAACCCGGTTTCTCATATCATATCTACTTTTCTCGTATAGTCTATGCATACGGACCTTATATAGTTAAGTCGTATTTATTTGTTTCAAGATTGCAAAATATATCGATTGGTATGCATACAAACGTGACATAATTATATTGTTCGACGTCACGATTCTTTTCGCGAAATTACATTCGATCGCGTTGTATGTATAATTGCGAATCAATTTTTATTTTAATAATCATTATCAGTCGATACATTGAAACGTGACGTGGGAACGAGAACGGTAGTGTCCTTCGACGTAATAATTTTTTGTGAACAGTGTTTTCTTCTTTCACAAATAGTCCGGCTATTTGTTTGCCGCGACCGCGTCGGCATTTATATAAATTAGGAAATGTAACTTCATATAAATTCATGCGCGCGCACATTCACACACACTCTGCACGCACACAGTATTCACTGACTGCCGCCGCCATCATCAAAATCAAACTGTGGGGCGACGCAGTTTTTTATCATCTATTAATCCCCGCGCACGCATTAACAGTATCGACAAGGTGCGTATCAATTTATATTTAAATTATTTACGTGTCGATACAATTTGTTTATTTTAAAATCTGTAATAAAACATGTAATATAATATGTCATTCGCAAAAGTAATTTCGCTTAAGCTATCGTCTTATTTTGTACGCACGGAAAGCCTAGAAGACGCCACGATATAAGTATAAACGAACATTTATACTTTATTTCATTTCACCTTATATGATATGATAAAGAACGTTGTAAAAAATACGATAAATAATCATTGGGAACGAGTTTCGAACGAATATACGTATAATCCAGCTGTTCGTCTGCCGCTGGTCGTATCGTTAGAGAACGTTCGCGTACATTATATTGTATTACATATTGTACACGTACGCATACCTTTACTTAAGTACACGTTGTAAATCGTAAATTCTTTCCCACAGTATGTACATACACTGAAATGTAGAATCGTGAAAGGAGGATGATAGACGAGGATCCTTTCGTTTTAACACCTGGAAGATATACAACGAGTCCCGCGGAGAAGACGTTTCGTCGACGTTTTATATTCCTGCCCGTAAAGGTGACGATGATTACATATGTTATTATTGACCTGAAGTATCGTTTATCGGTTCACTTTAAAGTCCATAAGAATAATAACGAACGATCGCGTTGTCACAGTGGCGTTGACGAGATCGAAAATCGATCGACATTCGTCGCAAGTCTGTCATCTCTCGTTGCGAAGAATATATAACATTCTCGTTTTTAATTGAAAACGTCTCGAGCTACGCACGTACCACGAAATTAGCTAGTTAGCTTACTTTTAATTTGTCCATAGTGTTCGTGTCGAACGTGAACGAGATAAGTATTGTATTACTTTCGCCTTTACTGTACCAGCGTTGGTACACCACCAATCTCATTTCGCTTCGATCGAGAAACAACTGTAACAATAACATGTTCGATTACGTAGGTAGGTAGGTAGGGTTTTTCGGAAAGACATCAGGTACACTGGCGCTTGACGCTCGAGCGTCGTCGCGTCGGTCAAGCGAGTTTCTCGGTCAGACACAGAGAGAGAGAGATGTATTATACGTATGTATACAATTAGTGTTCAGCGTGCTCGCATCACATTTATTAATAACCAGCAGGTAATAGGATGAATCGATAAAGACTTATTTAATTATGCAAGACAGATCGTTACGACGAAATCTTTATCAAAAAACGTGTGCCGCGCGTGATCTCACAATCGCGGTCACGATATCGGAACGACCGCAATAATATACTTAATTTTGTATTCTATTCCCGCGCATCTTCGGTCAGTTGTCAGATATTCCGATTGCGATTCAATCTGAACCAAGTAGATACCTCGCGCGTTCAGTCGTTAAAATCGTTGCATGAAAATGTGATAATTGAATAACGGCCACGAGTCGTTTTACGGATATACCCAACAACACAACTCCCAATTGACTCGCGCTCATCTATACTATACATATATGTATTTTATGCGTATTCTATTCGTATCGTATGTTTCTGTATGATTATGATTATTTTCTGATTCACAATTTCCGATTTCTGATCGGTTCGTTTTGGTTCGTTCCATTCAACTTTAGAGCGAACGAAAAGACTGCGCTGCGCATTTCGCACTTTTCTTTGCGCGTTGTTTGCAGTTACGATATACTGTGTATGATGATTCAGGATCTATTGGCTATACAGTCATTCCCAGAAGTTTATGTACTTCAGAAGAACGCATTTCCTATAATTAAAAAGAAATCAGACGTCGGAAGAACAATGCTAATAATAAATATAGAAGAAGCTAAAAAATATAGAAGAACTATTAACGCTAGCGAAAAGTTTTTATACGGAAATTGTAGATCTCGTCGTCCTCTACAAGAAAGGTTCTATGCAATTTTTTCGTAAGTCCAGCGGTTTGGGAGTTATTGGCAAAAAACGAAAATTTCGCAAAATTTGAAGGGGTACCCCTTGGAAAAATCTCGAAAAAATCGAAAATTTTTTTTTCGTCAAAATATCGAAAAATTTCGAAATATATTCTAAAAAGCGTCAAAAATTTCAAACTTTTTATGCTTGTACTTCCTCAAGTCAGTTGTTTCTTCCAACTTCGCACATGATAGCTTATACATCCTTAAATCATCGAAAGTCAGCGAAGTTTCACATTACGTACGTACAAATAATGAAACGAGTGGAGAAAAGTGTAAATCATAGAATGATCGTTTGACCGTGTTTTGGAAGCGACATCGATCGTTGTGCGTTTCCGCCCACGCAGTAGTTGCTGTAGGCAGTGGAAAAATGCGAAACTTACTAACCGCGCGCAAGAAGAGGAACGTAGCTTCGCCGTCGGGCTTAAGAGACAGGAAGAACGCCGCCGCCGGTCTGATCCTCGTCAGCATCGAGGATGCTCGCTCGACGGTGATCCGCGGTGACGACGACGGCAACGATGCTCGCTCGATGCAGCTGCAGCTCGGCAGCGGAAATGGTACTCGGCCGCCGCCGTTGGTGGTGGTGGTGGTGGTGGTGATCCGCGATCGACGAACGCGAACAAATCTGCTGCGGGTCCACCACGATCGGCTGATCTTTTTTCGCCGCTGGATCTTGCAACTCGACGTTGCAAGCAAACGCGACGCTGTTCTCCCTGCGCCGCGCGTGCTGGTGTTCCTTGTTGGGGACCGCGCGCTCTGCGAAAGGATTCCTGCTGCTCTGTTCGTGGTCGTGTCGTCGTCGTCGTCTCTTGGTCTTTCCCAAGCCGAATGGAACGATCTTATCTCAATCTTTGTAACGAGCTGATGCTTGATCCGCCTTGGAGGTCGATCCGTGCTCGCTCGCCGTGGTCGATGACAATTCTCCAAGTCACAATGGCGCCAGGCTCTTACCTCTTTTCGCCAGCCTGATTTCCAGCCATATGTACGGGATCACCGAGAGCAGAAGGACGCAAGCGAGGCCGAGTACACGGAATCGTGTGCAGACCAATCCGTGCAAACCGAGAATTAACGAGAGGCCGAGCCATTTCCAGAACAGTGACGTCGACAGCGGGCCTTGCCACGAGTTCGGATACAGACCCAATACCAGTGCTGAGTAAACACAGAGATTAGTTTCGCATGCGATCGAAGAAACCCGGCGTCGTCGGTTCGGTTTGACGGAATTCGGAAAACGAAAGTAGCGGATGAGAAATCGGACTCACTGTGTATCAAAGTTTCCCAAATAGAGTTGCAAACTCCCCAGGCAGCGGATATTACGTGAAAAAGTGCTGGGTCGTCTCCGGATGGTCTCCAACTGATCAGGACCAGCAGCAAACACGCGTGGAATACGAATCCTACAACTGTATCGAAAACGAGACGAGATCGCGGGTGGCGTTTAAATATCAAACGCGTGTCATACACGCGTACGGAATGTAATTAATTAAGGGTGGATCGATCAGGTTCGCTTACCTACGACGAAATATCTTTTAATGTGTCTCAGTAACATCGATAGAGTGACGCCGGCGAGGGCTTGAAACGAAGCCAGAGCTAAAAAACTTATAGTTACCGTGCTGGCTCCTCCCAAGGCGCAGACTACGTACGCCTGTTAAACGATAACATTGTGCGTTTAGGATCCGTTCCGACATTTATGAAGAGAGAGAGAGAGAGAGAGAGAGAGAGTCGCCTCAGTCACTTCGATGAAATCGGCATAGATGAAACCCTGTTCAAGTCCGATGAACAGCGTCAATGGTGCGGCCAGTTGCATTTTAGGGTCTAGGAAGGCGGTCTTCACGGACGTAAGGATATTCTGCGTGCTGTGTTTCTCGTTGACGCTCTGCGGTTCTTTCAGCCTAGAGTCGAGGAACGCGCACGATATGCCGAAGCCCAGAACGGCCAGGCCTGTCCATATGCTGACCAACATTTTCGACGTTCTGTACGACAACGTCGGAGGCGGATTGACCGTGCTACTGCTGCCGTCGCCGCCGCCGCCGCTACTGCTGCTGCCGCTGCTGCTACTGCTGTTGTAAAAATAAATATCCTCTGCTGGACAGTACCTCGCACCGCAATAATCGCTCACTTCACTGCTCATCATCGTGTTCACACCTACGGAGTCTGTCAATTTTACGAGTATGGCAGCTATCAGACAACCTGTAACATGAAACCGCGCAACCACATTTTCGTTATTGTTTGCCAATCTATCGCCGGGCGATGCAGGCAAGCAAGTTGGTGAATCGCGATAATGCGAATGATCGTACCCAGTGCGAGACCAATATCCTCTGCTAGTTTGATTCCTCGATTAAGTCTTCTCAGAAAGCACTCGCGTCTCGTTTCGTCGGAATCCACCTCGGGATCGACGTAGACCAATGCTAAACTCGACGCTGATGTATTTACATGTGAAACTCTCGCCAGGAAGTTCGGCGTCACACAAGCGCCTAGCATCGCGTAACTAGGTAACAGTATATACCTGTTTCCAGACACAGACGTTAATAAAACGCATACCAAGAGTCATACGTACACTTGTACGTGCATGATTGAAAAGTGCTGCGTACCATTTCGGATACAAGTGTAGTCCGACGAATATGGTAGTGGCCAGGTGGCTAGTGCACACGGCGAGATTCGTCCCGAATCTTTGCAGCAGAATCGGCGCGAAGCAACTGGTGAGCGTGGCGACCGCGTAGAGGAGGGCGAGCAGCATCGGGCCCAGATGAGCGTTGAAAGCTCCGAGGCCCGCTTGCAACGGGAATATAGGTAGCATCGCAGCCGAGCAGCTCGCGTGTCCCAGAAGAAGAGCGGCGCAGTGCCTCAGGATCGCTTTCTTCGGCGGCCTGGAACCGGAAGGCGCTGCCCTCACGGCGGCGATCAACCGGCGCACGGAGGACGCGCCCGCCGCAGAGTTCATCGAGTCGCGCCTTCGCCATGGCATCGCCGACGTTCTCGTCGCGCGGCACGAGATGGGAGAGTATGCTGCCATGTGCTGCGAGACAAAATGTTTTTTAACCAACTCGTTTTTACCAGCTAGCCGACGACAACGAGCCCGCCCCGCGATCGATACTGCACGAATTAATTCGTACTCTGCTACTGTACTTACTACCGAAACGAATGTATGCGCGCTACGACACCGATCAGCGAAGAATCAGTAGCATAAAATTGTTCGGTGTAAAAATTGGTTTTGCGACGAGTACCTCGAGCATAGCGTCGTTGTCCCATAGGGTATGATGATGACCGGTGCTTCTAGCGCGTCTGTGAGTGTGCGCCAACGGCGGAGGCTGGGCTGGCAGTCGTATGGGTCCTAAGCCCCCGATCGGAGCCGGTCTGAAAGCAGGACTTTCGAGCTTGTCCTTCGACAACTCGTGGAGATTCGGCAGAGAGCCCATGATCGCGTTACGTTTTGCTCGCTTCGTTTCTTGTGTCTGCCTTTCCACTACCACTACCACCACCACCGGATAGTTGCTCCCGTTCGATCTGTCAGTATCTGTTTAGGATAGCGGTCGAAAAACGCCTTTGTTCGGCAGCAGCAGCGGCAGCGGCGGTGAGAGTCATTGCCAAGGAGACCACGCGCGATCCTTACCATCGTTCCGTTCCGTTACTCTCGTTACCACGATTCTTCACCGTCTCCGGTTATCCGGGTATCTAAAACACACGATATAGCGAACTATAGCGAGCACTTTGAACGAGAACTTACAACCGAGAAACTGTCAGTCAGTGGTACAACGAGTAGCTGCGGAGATGACCTCGATATACATTGGTCGGTGTCACTTACAGTGAACAATTCGACACAACTGATTCAATACATTGTTTTATTTTGGATAAAGATAGGCGCATGAATCCGAATCGGATAAGAAATAAAGAATGCAAAGTTGCATTTTGCCTCCTGATCAACCATGAAACTAATACATAAAGCTATTAATTTGACACGTGATTTCGAGCGATCAGAAATATTAATAATAATAATAGGTACTACGTACGCGGTGTACTTTATCGGTGTTACTTAATATACATCGTAGTAGAAGAACGAACAATCAATAGAATCGTTTTATCCTACCCGTAGTTAACGGGCAACGTGTATTATTGATTTTATCGGTGGTATAAATATAGTTAACTTTATCCGACGACACGCTCGATCACGACGATTCCGTTTCATGGAATATAATGAGATGTTAATCGTTACGATCGATTAGAACTGTCAGAGAGATCGCTACGGTTTACCGTGTGTAGAACGAAAAATTAAAAAAAACTAATTACTATACTAGATCGCAGCGGCAGCAGATTTGCGACGAGAGAAGTAAACGGGGCTGCAGGTGCATGCAGGCATGTGCATAAAAATTCGTTCTTACGGCTGGTCGCCGGCTTGTGTACGAAACGTACAACTACTGTGAAATATCTAACGCGCCTATGTAATTCCATTAGAAACTATAGACAATCGATGGGTATCGACACACGTGTTTTCCGTTAACTACGTTCCACCAATATACTGTAAATAATTGAGCGTAAACGTACTTTTTTCACGGTCGTAGCGTCGTAACGTCGGTCAAAGTTCGCCATGATCCTTGGGCAGCTAACAACGATGAAACAGCAACAGGACCACGAAGATCATGGCAGAATCTGATTTTCATCGATTCAACCTTCTGACTCTGTGCGAAAACTAGAGGCTCCCGCGGTCCACGAAACGCTGTTTGTTCGGACCGAGACGCAAGAGCTTTAATCTCCCCCATAGAAGTAGTCCCGAATGAAAATACACGACACAACGGTGTAAGTTCACTCGGCGGATTTTTCATGCGCGATGATCCTCTCGAGCCTGATCCTTCGACAGGTCTCGTCCATCGTTGGACGCGCGCGCGTACGTATTAATACCGCTCGCACTTCCGTTCTGTGTACCTCTGCGCGATGATCGATAACCACCGCTGTGTGTCAACGCAGAAAATCGCAGAGAAAATCTGAGCGTCAGCAGCAGCAGCCGCCGCCCCGTGCGAATTAATTGACAACAACGATCACTTTCACTCTCGCTTACTTCTTAAATCACTCTCTGATTCGACTGATCGTTTTCTTCGACGACCGTGTTTGGGAACGCGAGAGGAGATCCGCGATCATGCTCCGGTCAGCGAAACGGGAATAATAACGTTAATAAACTGGTTTTTCCAACGTGCCGGTGAATCGTTCGAACTGGACCGAGCCGAACGGCGACGCCGGCGATTATAAACGGGCGATTAATGGTTTACGGTGCGCGGCCGAGTCGTGCGATCTAATAATCGGGTGGAAGGTAGCTTCGATTCGAAGGTGACACGATGGTCCTGAGGAAGGTACGACACCGCGCGCGCGACTCACCCCTCGGTTGGACTCGGTGTCGCTCGCCACCGTTCGATCTCCCTTGGGGTGGTTCTCCCTGCTCTTTTGGTATCACATCAGGTCGATAACAGGGAGATTGCGTACTCCATCCTCCTGTATCCTTGTTCCCCCTGTTACCCTTATTTACCCGGTTCCTCTTCACCGACACCGACACCACCACGTGTGTAATAGTGCGTGAACGCGGCGCGGCGGCACGACCCACGTCAATTTTACCCCGCGAATAGGATTTAAATAAAACTGTGCCGTGACAGCTGCTTCAAACCTTCAATCTTTCCCCGCAAAAGCGAAGGAATTCTACGTGCATGCATGCGATCCATTATTAAAACTGGCCGTACAATCACAGTTCAGCAGATCGTTCAAGGAGAGTCTGCGAAATCTGTTGTTCGCAATGCATAAAGCGCGTATCAATGCAACTGTCAATGAGCACTTGATCGGCCTATTGTCGTTAATGTTGTTGTATTGTCAAGTATGTCAATGTTACGACGAGAATAATACGCGTATACACGCATACGTATATGTACACGCACCGCCGCCAGTGACCATACACGTCGCTTTAATCGCGCGCAGGTTAATCACCTTAGACTCGTTACCTCTGTCAGACCGTTGTTACTCTTCGCTTCAAACGTAATCGTAATTATTATTGTTCAAGGCTCGGCGAATCGTAATGATAGCAGCGTTTCATCACTTCAATGATTCATCAGATGGGAGAGAGCACTGTTCCTGTTTTGGAACAGTTCCTTTTGCCACGTCCACCGCGTCCTTCCGACTGCAGCACCAATTCTGTCCTTACGTGTACCTGTTCCCTTCTCGGTTTCGGCATCAAATGGCACGATCGGATACAGACGAACTTAACAAACGTCGTTTGGTTCACAGAAAGGACCTTGGGAGCACGGAAGATCAAGAGTAGTAACGAATACTCCCACCGCCGTTGAGCACTCTCGCCTGTACTTCGATGCATAAGAACTCCCGTGGTTGCCCCTTCCTCACCGGATTCTGTGCGGAAGGTCCGATCCTTGGACACTTTCTTATAAATAAAGGTTGATCACTGACTCGGTTCTCATTTACCGCTCCATCCCTCGTGTATAGATACGATCTCTGTCTATCCATCCGTCTATCTATACCCTAGATGTAAACCGTCTTTTCTCTGTGTCCTCTCGTCTTTCGCTTGGTGCATCGTGTCCCGTGGGCCAAACTGACAGTGCCCCCGCTGATTATCTCGTTGTCTCATCGGACCAGCCGGGTCCACCACGTAAGTAGTAGCGAGCATCGGTATTGCCACCGACGATCGATCTCATTATTTCTAGTAAAAATCACGCATATGCGACCATGTGCGCGACGGATACACGCAGTTTCCGCCGGCGGACAGGATCGTTTTGCATTCCGCGGAACTTATTCCGAACGACGCGCACAACTATTCACGTCCAGCCGGTTCACCGTCGCACAGATCTTTTGTTAAACCCGCCGCGTTTCGAACGTAACAGGTAGAACAATTCACTGTTGCCCATCGGTGCGCGACCTGCACGAGCATAAAGTAGATCGAACCGTGACTCCGAACGAGCTATTGTTTCGCATTATTTGCGCAACGCTCGTTACGAGAGCGTGAGCAGAGACGTATGCCACATAGTCAGCCCCACATGGCGAAGCAAAGGGTGTCCCTTCGAAAGTGGAACACGGATGCAAGTGGATAGAAATAGAATTTTGCGTCCGCAGACGCGCTGGAGAACAAGAGACGTTTCTTAAACGAAACGTGTCCTGTCAGAGGCACACCTCTCTACGCTTCCGGCCACGACGGACTCGTATGTGTGTGTGTGTGTGTGTGTGATCGAATCGATGAACGTTCATGTAAGCCGATCGATCGATTAACGAGCCGCACCGGTAATTTTTTATTCGCGATACCGCGTTGTTTCGATCTAATAGAGGGCTCGCTGATTCGCGTCCAATCGGAAGGAAGACCGGGCGCGCGTGTACGCCTCGAAGGCGACCTTCGATCTTTCATCGGGCAATTATAGAATATCGGCGCGATCGAGATCCCGATCGCTGCCCGCCCCCCGTTGTTGCTCCCGTTTTTTCTGTCTTTCTACGCGTTCCCCTTCACGAGCGAGCGAGTATATCGGCGATAAAAAACGGTAACTAATACATCCGGTTATTCGCATTGCAAATTAATCCGTCCGCCGCGTCGCGCCGCCCGTACGCAATGCCTCGCGCGGCTCTCCGTTTTCTAATCATGACGGCTAATTGCGGCAACGTGATTAGTCGCGAAACGAGAGACGAATGCGCGAAAATGCTCGCTGTTGCATAAACTGTTATTCTTTAGACCTTGATCGTCCGACCTCGGGTCAAAAAGTATGAGTAAGTCCAGTCGGGCATAGTTTGTCACATTTTCTTCGCGAACCGTGAATGCCGCCGCAGCGCAGGGCGGAACCAGTGCCATTCACGTTTTACACCAATTTATAGCCATGTCCGTCGCCACCGAATTCGTTTACGATTTTCAACAAACGATCGTATAATTATTTCTCGTACACGCCGTCTTGCATGCGTCTATCGCGACGATAACATCGTCATCTTCAGCCGCGGCGTGTGCGAAACACACCCGCGTTCTTCAAACGTATTGACTGATCGCCGCACGTTTAATTGCCGTGCGAGTCATAACGGCGTGTATGATAATGTGCTTCGAGTAAAAAACTTGCTGTATCGTCGTAACCGTAAATAGAGACGCGTGAGCAATAACGTGTGATTTCATGATCGTTTAGGTTTCTACGTGTACACGCGGTCTCTTCCTTTGGCTCTCCCGTTATACGCATACGTGCATGCATGTGAGACGAAAAAATGGAAGGAAGGTACAGACGTTGCGATCGACAATTCCTGGTCTGACCGGGTGATAGGGACCCGTCGGAAGGGACCGTAATTTTTTATCATCACCCCCTGTGCTCATCCGTTTAACGTCTGTATGTCTTTTTTTTCTTTCGTCTCGTAAACGGGAACGACTTCACGCGAATCCTTTTGCCCTGTTTCATTGTGAGAGACGCGGTTCTCTTCCTTACGGTCTCTCAATGGTGATGGCAGAACGTTTAACGATTGCTTCGTTCAATTGTCCTCCAAGTTGTCAGATCGAATTCGGGTGAAGATTTTGCTCGCCATTTGCACGCGTCCTACGATCGAGTGGGATTTGAAAAATCGATGTCGATCGACACGAATGAATACGCGAAAAGCTGATTCGATGATATGCCTACGTACGCTATTTGCATGTATTGCGGTAGACTATGCTATAGGCAAAAGGAATGCGAATGGTAAATCGCCTGTTACGATTATCCGCCTTTCTGCATCGTGACGATGTCAACCGACCGACCGTGTCCAGCGAGCCGAGTATGAAAATTAGCAAAATATCGGACTGAGCAAATTCATCTCGAATCGACTCGTTTCGACGTTGTTGTTCGCATACTCGTATGTATCGTGTGATTTGAATGGAATCCTATAATCGACGCTCGACACGTTTTACATTTTCTTGTGTGTGTGTGTGATCGAATCGATGAACGTTCATGTAAGCCGATCGATCGATTAACGAGCCGCACCGGTAATTTTTTATTCGCGATACCGCGTTGTTTCGATCTAATAGAGGGCTCGCTGATTCGCGTCCAATCGGAAGGAAGACCGGGCGCGCGTGTACGCCTCGAAGGCGACCTTCGATCTTTCATCGGGCAATTATAGAATATCGGCGCGATCGAGATCCCGATCGCTGCCCGCCCCCCGTTGTTGCTCCCGTTTTTTCTGTCTTTCTACGCGTTCCCCTTCACGAGCGAGCGAGTATATCGGCGATAAAAAACGGTAACTAATACATCCGGTTATTCGCATTGCAAATTAATCCGTCCGCCGCGTCGCGCCGCCCGTACGCAATGCCTCGCGCGGCTCTCCGTTTTCTAATCATGACGGCTAATTGCGGCAACGTGATTAGTCGCGAAACGAGAGACGAATGCGCGAAAATGCTCGCTGTTGCATAAACTGTTATTCTTTAGACCTTGATCGTCCGACCTCGGGTCAAAAAGTATGAGTAAGTCCAGTCGGGCATAGTTTGTCACATTTTCTTCGCGAACCGTGAATGCCGCCGCAGCGCAGGGCGGAACCAGTGCCATTCACGTTTTACACCAATTTATAGCCATGTCCGTCGCCACCGAATTCGTTTACGATTTTCAACAAACGATCGTATAATTATTTCTCGTACACGCCGTCTTGCATGCGTCTATCGCGACGATAACATCGTCATCTTCAGCCGCGGCGTGTGCGAAACACACCCGCGTTCTTCAAACGTATTGACTGATCGCCGCACGTTTAATTGCCGTGCGAGTCATAACGGCGTGTATGATAATGTGCTTCGAGTAAAAAACTTGCTGTATCGTCGTAACCGTAAATAGAGACGCGTGAGCAATAACGTGTGATTTCATGATCGTTTAGGTTTCTACGTGTACACGCGGTCTCTTCCTTTGGCTCTCCCGTTATACGCATACGTGCATGCATGTGAGACGAAAAAATGGAAGGAAGGTACAGACGTTGCGATCGACAATTCCTGGTCTGACCGGGTGATAGGGACCCGTCGGAAGGGACCGTAATTTTTTATCATCACCCCCTGTGCTCATCCGTTTAACGTCTGTATGTCTTTTTTTTCTTTCGTCTCGTAAACGGGAACGACTTCACGCGAATCCTTTTGCCCTGTTTCATTGTGAGAGACGCGGTTCTCTTCCTTACGGTCTCTCAATGGTGATGGCAGAACGTTTAACGATTGCTTCGTTCAATTGTCCTCCAAGTTGTCAGATCGAATTCGGGTGAAGATTTTGCTCGCCATTTGCACGCGTCCTACGATCGAGTGGGATTTGAAAAATCGATGTCGATCGACACGAATGAATACGCGAAAAGCTGATTCGATGATATGCCTACGTACGCTATTTGCATGTATTGCGGTAGACTATGCAATAGGCAAAAGGAATGCGAATGGTAAATCGCCTGTTACGATTATCCGCCTTTCTGCATCGTGACGATGTCAACCGACCGACCGTGTCCAGCGAGCCGAGTATGAAAATTAGCAAAATATCGGACTGAGCAAATTCATCTCGAATCGACTCGTTTCGACGTTGTTGTTCGCATACTCGTATGTATCGTGTGATTTGAATGGAATCCTATAATCGACGCTCGACACGTTTTACATTTTCGCAAGCATCTCGAAAATCTGTTCTTCTCCTCGAACGGTAATTTATAGCGTACCGTATACGAAACTTGGCACGCGTGCGACTGATCGTTAGCCATGCAACGAAACGTAATGATCGTCCTCCGGCCGATGCGGTCGAGTATAGTATATGGAATATTGCACACGCGTCAGCGATACCATCGCGTACATTTGCGATCAAATAAATGTAAATGTTAACAACAAGTATGTAAACGCGATTTCAATTTTCACGGTAATCATCGACGCGAGACCTTAACTACCGCTGCGTTATATAACCCGACCATTTAATGACACACCGTTAACTCGTTCCGTCGAGATTTTTCATCGTCTCATCGAGAAGACATTAAGTATAGATCGTTTCAATAAGTCTGAATATATCAATTTCGTAAACGGCACGATTCTCTCTGCGGCAGCGTGCGAATAATTTAATAGAAACGGAAAAAACTAGTAACGCATGTAAATGAGTAGACAGTTTCATGGAAAATAACGCGCTCACAGAATCTGTGTAGCCGTTTCCGACGAGTAATCACTTACAGCCAGCATCATAGTACGAATTATATTTTTATATACCGCTACTACGTTCACATACACTTGTTCCTTATTGCATAGGTGATTTTCATAAATACCTATGCCGTGCCCACCTGCTCTGCTACGACTACACGAGCTGGCTGGTATACTCCGATAATGTGAAGAAGCGAAAAATGTGAAGCATTGTACTCATTGTCCGTCTCCTCCGTCCTTCGCTCCAGATTCACTCGACGTCAATTAACGGTTTTGCGTCGTTAACTGTCTCTATATCGGTGGAGTTTAATTTTTCTCGCCTGTTATTTTCTTCTTTTACGCAGAGACGCGCACGATGCTGAACACAATGGTGCAGAAATCACGATTCCTGTACAAGCCGTACGCGCTGGCCATCGTTTCAGTGGGATACGTGCTCGGGGAGCTAGGTCATTATTTAATTGGTAAGCGAATTTAATCGAATACCATACCGTGCGTTATACTTGCTCTATCCTCGACGAGACGCGTCTTAAACGCCTGCATACCCACCTGCTCCGCTAATTGCACGCGACGACACCGAGTTACGTGGGAACGTTATTAAAAATTGTAAATCAGATTCCCATGTGCGTTTCTATCGCGAGTTCTTCCTTCCACGTGTCCAATTCAACGAAAAAAAACAGAACGTTTTCACGGTGGCTCGCTTTATATCTGCGACGCAACGTCTGTTTTTATCAGCATCTGATATCGGACAATTCTCATTTTCATTTTCAGCCGCGCGTTCAGCCTGAGATTCATAAATTTTTGTTTTGTTTTCGTCGACGTGTTTCGTAGATCTTTTTACGGTACGATTGCTTCTCCACTCCGTTCATCATCGCAAATAGTTTACGCTTACTCGTTAGAATCTGTCAACCGACGGATGAACGATTCGTTTTTAAAAATACTCCGCGACCGTTAATTATGGATTACGGAACAGTTATCAACGGAATTTCCTTAATCGTGTCTTCAAGGTGTCACGAGCAAGGCGACAGCGGAGGATTTACACTACGGCGATATTTCCTGCCAATTAAACTCGACCACGTTATCGATCATACAATTACCGATTCAATGCGAGGAGGCTAACAACGAAAGTCTGTACGTTTTCCGGCTATTTACACTCGTCTCATACGTATTTAGTACATACATCGAGTTGTTTCTCTCTTTCTAAATGCACCGATTCCTAAATCAAATTGTATTTAATTGTCCAAGTGTATTTGCAAGCACTGTTTCGCCGGTACGGTTCTATTTCAAATTCCATTATAGAGGAATACGAGGATAGAATCGAATCGAATCGAATCGAATCGAATCGAATAGAATAGAGATTGAAACAGGTACGATTTGTAATCCGAGGAGCAGCACTCTGCTACATTATTTCGTGTTGGCTCGCGTTCAACCGCGAACCGTAGAATCGCGAGCATTGGAATGTATTTTGTTTCGCAGCTGCGTGTCCTTCGAATTGAATGGAACACGGTACTGCGAATGGAATTACAACGGCCTCGGTCTCGACTATCAAATCCTGGCCGGTCCAAGTTTCATCGCCGTGTTCACGATCGTCGGAGTTGCTCTAGGCGTCGCCGCTGATAAATACAATAGGTACGTGTCACACATTCCGTCGCAAAATGCCAAATTATTTCGATTAAACGTCGACTAAAAGTTGAACGATTTAATTTTTCAGAGTAAGATTATTAACGATATGCACGGTGGTATTCAGTGTCGCAATCGTTCTAATGGGAGCGGTCAAAGAATACTGGCAGCTGGTCGTTCTACGTATGGTTCTAGCGGCAGGGTGAGCGATAAGCCGGTTTTTATTTTATTCAATTAATGTCTATTGAAATTTGCATGCAGACAGACACACGCGTACCTACGCGATCTACTACTCATATTCACTGTACTGTAAAATCATCACGTTCGCATTAAATAATAATAATACTTAGGGAAGCGGGATGCAACCCTCTGGCCACGGGCTTGCTCTCCGACTGGTTCCCGGAGAAGCAACGAGGCCTCGTTATGTCGATATTCAATTGGGGCATTTACGGTGGCTATGGAATCGCATTTCCAGTCGGTAGATACATTCCAAATCTGAACATCGGAGATCTGGTGCGTATATCGACACAATTTCAATGCATACTCTACTCTACCGTACTGTGATTCCATTGGAGAGGAAAATGAAAAACTACAGGGCTGCGAGCCATCCTACCCTATCCTATACCCTTCATTTTTCGGTACGCGTATAACGATGACATCATGCTAAATATCATACATATGTATAGTACGCTTCTACACACGTATACACGAGCCGACTAATAGAACCGAGCTGTATGTGTCTGTCTGATTAAAATTAAGGGCTGGAGAGCATGTTACTACGGAGCTGGGATAATCGGGCTGATCATAGCTGCTCTCACTTTCACGCTTTCCGAGCCGGAAAGAAAATCGACGGCCACCGATGGAACGGACACCGCCGGCGGCGACGTAAAGAAGACGCGTATCTGGAAGGTGATCCTGCAACCAAGGATCATAATGTTGTGCTTGGCCGCCAGCATCAGACATTGCGGTAAAGTACAACGATATCTTTGCAAGAATTATTCGTTGGTCGATCAATACCGCGTTACGCGCTACCATTCCGAAGCCCTCCTCCAGATCCACCAGCCGTTTCTCGTTCTCGCGTCGACCACCTACGTACCTACTTATGCACGCCTGCCTGCCTGCCTACCTACCTACCTACCTGTCCATTCATTTCAACCATGAAACATGGTGCTCTGTGAAATATGATCAATACACGTCGATTCATTTGTTTAGGTGGCATGTGTTTCGCGTACAATTGCGATCTCTACTACAGGGATTACTACCCCGATTACGATTTAGGCTGGTGGCTGTTCGCGGTGACCATAGTGATCGGTAGCATCGGCGTTGTAGTGGGTGGCGTAATCAGCGACAAGTTCGTAGCGAAAATGGGCGTTAGGTCGCGAGTGGCCTGTTTAGCTATCAGCCAAATAATCGCGACGCCGTTCGCATTCGGCTCGGTATACTTCACACCCCTCTGGGCTATGATAACGCTTGGAATTTCTTATTTCTTCGGTAAGTAGAAACGTCGTCGTTTCTCAATCGTTACATACGTATCTATTAATTGACAATGACTGAGAAACACTGTGATCATGTCCATTACAGCCGAAATGTGGTTTGGAATCGTGTTTGCGGTAGTCGTAGAAATAGTTCCTCTGCACCTCAGGTCGACCACCATCGGTGCTTTCTTGTTCGTCATGAACAATATCGGCGGCAATTTACCAATATTGGTCGAGCCGACCAGGCGAGCCATCGGCTTCCGAGGATCTCTTTACATTTTCTACGCTGGCTTCTACGGTATCAGTAAGTATCATCATCGACCACGGATATCCGCGATGCGTCAACAGAGGACAGGCGCGGATAGATCGTGCAGATCGATCGGCAGTCGACGATTTATTAGAGAATTCATAGAGAAATTATTTGTTCACCTCTCCAGGCTCTATCATGTTCTTCTTCACCATGTTCTTGATGGACGGAGGAGCAGGTGCCAAACAAAAGGTCCAGAAGCCGACGAAAGACGAGATCCATAGGAAACCGGAATTTGGATACGATAACGATACGTTTACGAACGACGAAGGTCGGATCCCGACCTTGGAACTCCCGCGATTGTATCCGTCGCCACCTCATCGTGCTCAAAATTCCAGATTATAACAACGTGAATTTATTCCCAAAACTACCTCCCTGTACATTCCCTAATAAAAGCGACAGTAGGATAAGAACGACTCAAATTTCAAATTTCAAACGAACGTCACTGCGGTCACGTGAGCGACGCGCGCTAAGCTGCGCGGTAGATATTGGAGCCAAGCGGGTTCGCGGTCGTGAACGCTAGATGGCGCCTCAAAATCGTTTGAGGTCACTCGAGTATTTATCATCAGCAACAAGATATTCAGATATACGAGCAGGAAAAAGATAAATTGAACATCATGTGTATGTCTAATAATATTGTGCAGCACAGAGAGGACATCGTTGACGATCGTAATGATCGATGTGCAGGGTGTTGAGAGTATTATAGTTAGGAAAAAGTAAATATCAGTATCGGTTCGTGCACTGTGTCAGCTAGCCTAGCTACACATCGTATCTATGTGTATACATTTTACATGTCAAATTTCGTTGCCGCAGTTTCAAGTGTTCTGCCTGCTTATCTCGAGCTATTGATATTTAATCATTTCCTGCGTATAAAACGCTTGAAGAATGTGCCGTTGTTTCGACTCACTTCTTATCATCGACGACGAGTGAACGACGACCACGAAACAGGGACCAGTGTAAAACTATCGATATGTGATGAGAATATATCGTCGGTTCTTACACACCCACCTCTGCCAAACCAGATATTGTGTGTGTCATTCACTGATTCATTTATATGTATAATTATAATATATACATATAACAAGCATAGCTACTTGTCACTGTGGGCAATACGTTAACATTATAAAATAATGCATTAAATATTCGGCTGGACGCTAAAAAGGTATTTATATTCTGTTTTTAATAATTCACTAAAATTCAACGTTCAATGAGAAATATCGTTTACGTACGTGACTAATAAGAAATTTTATGTAATTATTTATGTTTGAAACTTATAGTACATTTGACAATTTTATGTTTCAACTAAAATTATTGCTACATTCAAAGATTAGATAAGATTAAAGTACGTCGTAAAATTCCTATTACCATGTCAATCGTAGATCTCTTGATAATCGTATGAAAGCGTTCAGTAGTAATTACATGGTTCCTGCCTGCCTGCCTGCCTGCCTGCCTGCCAATACATATCGGCATTGATCTCTTAATGCATTGATCATTGAATTAATCATTGACAATTGATATCGGGATTGATCTTGGATTGATTAAATTTGCAATCTAATTTCTTACAGGAATGATGTTGAACAGTGTAACAAAACATATTTTACATTGTTGCTTACTATTCATCGTTATAATTACTTTCGAGTTGGTCGCCGGTGGGCTCAGTTGGACGAATGACGAGAAGAAGGAAACACTGGATCCTTGGATTCAATATGGATTTCTTGGCGCATTCACATTGTACTTACTACGAATACTTACGTTTCTCTCTTTCCCGCAAGTATTGTTCAATTTCGTGGGATTGACCGTGTACAATGCGTTCCCGGATAAAGTCGTTTTAAACGGTTCGCCGTTACTCGCACCATTCATTTGCATTAGAATAGTGACGCGCGGCGACTATCCGCAGTTAGTCATAGCGAACGTGAATAAAAATCTGAACAAGTGTTTGGAAACTGGGCTGGAGAACTTTCAAATCGAAGTGGTCAGCGACAAGCCGATCGGATTGATGCCTCACAGAAGAATCAGAGAAGTGGTCGTGCCAGAAAATTATCGTCCGAGCAGCGGTGCTCTGTTCAAAGCACGTGCTCTGCAGTACTGTTTGGAGAACGTGGCAAACGAATTGGCGGACAACGATTGGATCGTACATCTCGACGAGGAAACTTTACTCACCGAAAATTCTATTCGTGGAATATTGAACTTTGTATTGGACGGGAAACATCAGTTTGGTCAGGGACTGATAACGTACGCGAACGAGGACGTAGTCAATTGGATTACAACGTTGGCCGACAGTTTTCGAGTGGCCGATGACATGGGAAAGTTACGACTGCAATTCACCATGTTTCACAAACCTTTCTTCAGTATGAAAGGTTCTTACGTCGTTACTCAGGTAATAAATATGATCGATAGTCTGCCGCGAGATCGCCTAACACAAACGTTGTCTCGTTCTTGTTCTGGGTGCGCAGATGGGTGCGGAGAGAAATGTCTCTTTCAACAATGGGTTGGACGGGTCCGTTGCCGAGGACTGTTTCTTCGCGATGAAAGCGTATACCCAAGGATATACGTTCAACTTCGTGGACGGAGAAATGTGGGAAAAATCACCGTTCACCTTGTGGGACTTTGTACAACAGAGAAAACGATGGTTGCAAGGCATATTACTCGTCGTACATTCCAAAGCCATTCCGTTGAACAAGAAGTTGCTCCTTGGCATATCTTGTTACTCGTGGGTGACCATGCCTCTTTCCACTTCGAATTTCGTGTTAGCAGCAATTTACCCGATCACTTGTCCACAGATCATAGATTTTTTATGCATGTTCATCGGTGCAGTGAATATTTACATGTACGTGTTCGGCGTGATTAAATCGTTTTCTTTGTACCGATTTGGCATCGCGCGATTTATACTATGTATTTGCGGGGCATTATCAACGATTCCTTTCAACTTGATCATTGAAAATGTTGCCGTCATATGGGGCTTGTTCGGGAAGAAGCATAAATTTTATGTCGTCAACAAAGAATACAACCCAGTGATCCCAGTGTAGAAAAGAACGATGTCGAGGGAAAGTCGGGTTCTCGTACGCACGCACGCACGCACGCACGCACGTACGTCCGTACGCACTTTCCAGTACCTGTAAGTTTAAACAAATATCCGTCGTCGTCTTTTCCGTCAGTGATGCGTATGTACGTATATACGAGCAACGCTGCGGACGAGTATAGCCGATGATAATCCTTAGAGCATATGGAAAACAATTTATGTATATGTACATAGCTATTTACGATATTTAAAAATTATGTAGGAATCGTGAGCCATGTATAGATGCTTGCAATATCGCTTGGCAATTTTTATCTGCCAACATATTATGTTTGAACGAATGAACGAAAGCTACTACCGTTTAATCACGCGTATGCATGACAGCAGGGACTGTTGACTAAGAGACCAGCAGCAGCAGCGCGTTTATATGTAACGGTTCGGTTCATTTTATTACATATCATCCGATCATTTTAATTAAATAATTTATATTCATTAAATTTTTTTTAATAATATTTAAGCGTACTGTTCCCTTAAAGTAATATAAGTTGAAAGAGGTAGCACTAACTCCTACCGATGTCGTCATCACCCGGAGTTAGTGCTACCTCTTCAGTGATGAGATACGGGCCGGGTTTTCACGCGCATACGCGCCTTTACTTAGGTGNCCTGTATTTTCACATTCCCTTTACATTCAATTTCAAAATAAAATTACATCAGTAACTATTTATCCAGACGTAGGTTAAAATTGTTTTTATTTTGACGTGTCAAACGTAATCTATAATCGTATCTTTAATATAATTTTAACATTAGTTACATATCAAACTATAGACAATTAAAAGTCAATTAATAACTATGGCGACGTGTGGAGTACGATCAGATGCAATATACATTTGTGTATATGTACGCGACGTTCAAAATACTTTCCATCGTTTAAATAATTAAATAAGTGGAATTCTCAAGGCTGTGGATAGGAACATCGTACGCGCGAACGAAATCGAATCTTCTTGTATAAAATACATATTATCATTTTCATTTGCGATATCGTTCATTCATAAACGAATCATACTTTTTTCAACGTATCATCATCGTCATCATCTTTAAGCTTATGGGAAAATGTAATTACCATGTGAATAAAAGTATTCCCACTAGTGATCTCCTGTCGTCGCATGCTGTTCCTTTCAGTTTCTTCTTGTTTTACAATACTTGAAAAGACTATTTATACCGTCAGTCGTAGGGTTCGATGTCAGCTATAAAAAAGTGTCCACTGCAATTTACTCCCAACTCCATTGATTCCTATGCTTGAACAATTAAGATGCAAAGGTCATTGAATCCTCGTGCTGGCAAGAAGCTCGGCAGACTGTATCGTCAAAAGATCTCGTCTTGAAAGCTACGAAATGCGGGTGGTATGCATTCATCTCCTTTTAATTTCACTAATCAGCGAGTTATTAAGCGGTGGAGAAAGTGCGTCAAGCGTTTGAGTCTTTGTACGTCCAAAAAAAGTAAATACTATCAGCGTGTTACTTTCATCATAAATATATTATTATTCACACACGGAAGTAGAGTATCCATCGTATAATAATAATAATAATAATAATAATAATAATAATAATAATAATAATAATAATCGTTATCATCATCATCATCATCATCATCATCATCATCATCATCATCATTGGATACCCGAGAATACCGTAAAACTTTCTCGCGCGTAAGTGCGTTCTGTGTGCAGTAAAAAGCACATTCTGGCAGTAAATGCATCCTTTAACGAACGACGTTACATCGTGTAATCACGTTAATTGCTCGCGCAATTTCACGGGTCATATATATTATAATGATTACTTCGCTTTCTACTCAACTTTTCTCTCTCTCTCTCTCTCTCATTTTTTTTCTTTCCTAAGTTTATTTACCTACCCCTCAATGGTGATGACAAACGCGATCCATTCGCGCGGCGACGTACAATAGCTCTTATACTTATAGCGTACAAGTATCGTTCGTCGCGTTACCTTTTAATAACATCATCAACTATCTAAGTTATTGTCATCATCACGAGACACATATATGTAGAAGTTAATGGATCGACGCGCGCGCGCGCGCGACACGGTCGACAAACGCTAAATTTTTTGCAATAACAAATAGAATTTTTATACCTAAATCATTCGCACTCAGCAGCCACCATACCATTTAGCCTGCGCGTAAGAACATTCAATCATAATATCGTGTACCTGCTGTACGCCGTATATGCGCGTATCTTTAACAATGCCCCTTTTTCATTCGTTTCCATTCGAATCTCTTCCGAATCCCCTATTCTTTTGCTTACTTCCTTCTACGAATCCGACATGATCACCGTTCGATCAATTTCTGGTCGAAGCGAAACGAAGAACGGATCGCATACTAGCCGCGGCTGCTCTATAAAATCGTCTTCTCAGCACTTCCTGCTGACACTTTCGCTGATTTTTCTACGCGAACTGCATACACGCGTTTTGGAAATGCGATTAATACAACGATGCATATGTTCTTGTCGTAGTTAACGCAAGAGATCATGAGAAATTGTACGTGATAGATTATCATATGTTAGACACAGACGATAAAAGGTGACGCGGTTTAATTTGTACAAATTCTGGAAATGGAAAATGGTTTTCAAATGACAATCAAGCACGAAACGAGAAAATATTGCTCGTCAGACAAAAGGACATCGAGATGCAACGTCGCGTTGCACAGAAATGTTCCTCGAGCAACTTTTCTGTACCGCGGGCGTCAGCCGGTGGAGAAAATTTAGAGTTGCTGGACAAAGAAAGATACAACGTCGAACGTTCTCTTTCTGTGTTACGCTCGTGTTCATTGCACCGAACGACGAAATCAACTGTGAAACAACCAAGAACAACGTTACGTTCACGTTCCACTCGAATTGTAAAACACAAGGTCGAAGGATCTGACGCTGTTTGACGCTGTAAAACAATTTCGACTGAAACTCGACAAAGAATTTATTGTTTACAAATTATAATGCTTCCTTTTAGTTTTCTTAAAAAGAAGAAGAAAAAGAAATGATTGAAAATCGCGTGTATAAGCCACCACATACGAATAAACTACTGGGTGACGCGTCGTTTACACAGCTCTCTTTATCTACGTATATCACGTCGATCAGGATTACTATTGTTATTATTAATCATCGTCGCCGCTAATGTTATCTCGCATTTGTAAAAGAAAAACAGTATTAGACCGATAAGTTAGATCATTAATTACCATAGTTATCACTTTAAGTGTTTTTCTTTTTTGTTCGTTTTCAATCAATTCCAAGTTCTCTTCTCGGTTCGTCACCCCTCAACACACAGTCCAATATTGCTTGACTCAATTCTTGTCTCGAAACACGCGTAGCAGAATTGCACAAAACGATGACTCTTGCTCAGTTATTCGCTCATCTACAACGGACAAATCAATTAAATGTTGTGAAACATTTCCAAACGCGTTTCCCCTGATAGAGTAATTCGAATTCGCCGGTAACACCGTCGTACGACGACGACGGAACGACCCGAACATGTTCCTCTCGGATTTCTGGGAACCGGGCGCGCTGTCTCAGCTCGGCGGTGATTCATCGATATTCAGCAGCTACATTGCCAATATCCTCCGCGTCCTTTTGGTAACGACGACGACGACGACGACGACGACGACGACGACGCACAGTGAAACAGCTGCGGCGGATGCTCGCATCACACGCGAATATTCGAAATTTAATAGAGCACACGCTATAAACACTTTTTGCAATTTCCATGGAAAATCATATATGCGTTTGCATTATATGTCTGTCTGTCTGTCTGTCTGTCTGTATAGTATATGTATATCATCTCAAACGACAAAGTGAAGTATACGTACGTCAACAAATATCCAATCACGTTCACTATAAATTAATCGTGCACGCACGCACGCACACACTGCGAGATTCTTAAATTAAAAAAAAAACAGAGCACAAACCATTTATGTATTACGTTTCAAACACAAAAATGAGGCGCGCGTACGTCGTCTACATCGACTGCAAGCAGAAGCTTTTAGAGTGCTGCTGTTTGATGTAGAAAGCTCATGTTGAGAAAACAGAAAGAAAGAAAGAAAGAACGAATGAACGAACGAACAAACGCGATTATGAATTGTAAAGAGTTAGTGCCTCGATGTTCGTCCTGTTTTTTTTATTACAAAACAAATGCGCGCGTTCGATACGATGTTTCGGATTTATTCGTATCAATTGAACGCTACTACCGTGTAACAGCATACATTATCAACGAAAAGACAAAACACGATGCTCCCTGTTCGGAATAACAAGTCGAAGTCGTCGTAGAACATCGGTCAACGACGAAAGGACGTGTTTTCCTTTCCTTTCCTTTCCTCTCCTTTCCTTTCTTTCTCCTTTTTTTCTCTCGGTTCAACAAACGTAACGAGCAATGGAACATATACGATAGTTTCTACCACGTAGCGTGATATTGAGCAGCTTACACTTTGATAATATTCACACTAAGGCAATTTTGTATGTAATGAATTAACACTGCATATACACTTCCATACACGCACGCTCGCTCTCCTCCTGTTCCTCCTCCTCCTCCCGCGTATATGTACACGCAACGCGTTTAGCTCTGCGTGCTCACAAAGTCTGCTTTTTCTTCCCCCCATTTGAATAATTTACAATCACTACTTAAGTTTGATACTTTGCGAATTCATCTGTGCAAATCGCGTAGCATCTAGCTGCTCAGACCGGAGTATAGTTTCCCTTCGGTTTATGAAATATCTGGCCACTCGCGAGGCGCCTCATTATTTCTGACAGTAAGAGACGTTTCTCTTTCTTGATCTTTTTCAGTATGCCCCGGTTCTCTTGCGCGCGCCGCGACAGATACGGTAACACTTCTTTGACTGGACCGTAAGGAATATATTTGTACGCCGAGTATCCGGATTGACCTGACAAGACGAATATCATTATCGAATTGTTGAAATTTCAATTGTTCTCTCTCCGCAAATTCTTAACGATACTGCTGTCTGGTAACGACAAAGCTACTACGTACCTAGCGGGAACGTGATGTAGTCGCACATTCCCAACAACTGGCCAAAACAGATCACTTTATCCTCTGGCGAGATTCCTATCTCCTTCATTCTGTTTAATCAGAACAACAACAACAACAATAGATTTACGACGACAGTCTCGCTCGAACGGAAATCACTCAACCCTTTAAACGAAAGACGCGCGCGCCATGTATATCGTTATAAAACATAGTGTAGTAGCAGCACGTACTTTTCAATCGCGAAGCGTACTGTATCTTCGTTGTGGGACGCGACCATGATTCCAATCTTCTTCGGATCCTCCCCTTTATCTTTGTACTGTTTCATCCGCCTTAAACACTCCATCAGAGTCCTATGATAAGACTCGGTCGTAGCCTCGTATGTAGGATTCGTTGGATCCGGATATCCCATGGCCGCTGCCCTTGCCCTCTCCTACGATGCATTGTAATGCATCGTATTATTAA